TCGGGATTCGGGATTACTGTGGGCGGTCTAGACAAGAGGAGGAAGAAGAAGAAAAGTGGGGAAAAACATTTGGGTCCGATTTCGTTGCTCAACAAAAACGTTAACTTACATTCGAGATGAATAGTTCTAGAAATTGAGTATACGAATAGCCGGGCCATGTTGGCGTTATTGGCGATGTGCTCCGCGAGCCCTGGAACATTTCCAGCGCCGGCGAAAAAAAATGGGCTCTTGGAGCTCTCGGAGCAGCTTAGGATCACGGCCAAAAGTAAGATGAGCTCCGGCGGCGGCGGCTCACGGAGCACGAGGCGAAAAGGGGAAGAGAGCGAGACGGAAGGGCTCCGACTTTGTTCCACAAATCATATTGTCGGCCGCGGAGCATTGAGTCACATACGCGCGCACGCAACCTCATAAAGGCCGACGATCTTTTTGTCGTTTTCATGCGAAACCACTGATTTTTCGATGAAATATCTGCAAAAATCGGCGACTCTTGCAAATTTTCGTAATGGGGTTATTCAGGCTGTGAAAAAAATGATTGTTTTCCGTTTTTTTCGTTTTTTTACGTCAAAAAATCCAATTCAGCGATGTAAAAAAACGAAAAAAACGGAAAACAAACATACGCTGAATAGCCCCATAACATCTGATGCCTTGCCGACAAAATTCAAAATTTTCAGCGGCAGGTTTGTTCGAAATTTCGCGGAAAGCGTGCGCATTTTTACAATTTTCGTTGAAAAATTGACAAAATGTCGTAAAATGAGGCAGCTTGGCGAAAAAGTGCACACTTTCCGGTGGTTTCCTGCAAATATCGATCTAAAAACAGCAAAATTTGACAGTTTTTGACGCATTTCGCGAAAATTCTGCGAAACTCATAGAGATTCGTTGCAAAATCACCTGAATGTTGCGCTTTGAACGCCAAAATTCGCCTTTTTCGTGAAAAATCTCATCAAATCAAGGGCAATGTTGGAAAAACGCAAAAACGCATTAATTTCCTCCAAAAGTGGATAGAGTCCGAACTTTTGTGCAAATTGTCGTCAAATCAGGTGCATCGACGAAAATGAACCGCTCTCCGAAATTTCGAAAATTTGAGCGTTTCTCGTTGTTTTCCACCAACAACAAAAAATGGTCAAATCGAGCTCATAAATCAGTTGAGGCGGGAAAATGAGAAACCAATTTATCGGAGCGCGTCAACCAACCAGCGGCGCCCATCAATTGTTCAATCCAATTTCTCATCCGAATCCCTCGAAATTTCCGTGTTTTGGGGGCCGGATTTCGAGAAGAGCGCGCATTTTGGAGGGAGCGAGCAATTAGGCCGCCCGACTTTCGCGGACTCGGATCATATTTCACGAGCAGCATTCGATTTCTATGCTAAATGATGGGGGAGGGAGTCAAAGTTGAATTTGCAAAAAAATCTCGACTGAAACCGCTAAAAGGACCGCGAAATTTGAGGGGAAAAGCGGGTGGTGGTGGTGGTGGTGGTGCTTGAGGATGTGTATGTAAATTGTGTGGCGGTCCCCGTCGCACGCCAACTTTTTGTATTTGGGGCCAAGATGAAGTGGGTGACAAGGGGGAGGAAGAAGAAGAGGAAGAAGAAGTGAAAGGGGAAGAAGAAGAGTCAGACTTTGAGAGTACTGTAGTTGGATGGGTCTTGAGACGAAAGTCATGAAATGCCACTGGTTGGAGCACATGGAGCATCAATCAATCCTTTCGTTTTTTTCGCCCATTTCCACCCGCCCGCCCGCCCGCTCTTTTTTTCAAACTGCCACGTCACTTGGCCCAATCGATTTTTGCTTATCTTTTTCCTTCTTTTTTTTCCACTTCTTCTTCTTCTCCGAAATCGTCGTGTGCCCCCGCGAGAAACAACAATACTCGAGGGAGAGGAGCCCATTGTGGCGGCGCGTGTGAGCTCCCGAAAAGGGGCGTGGCTTGTGTGTGGAAGAAGGCAAAATGGAAATTGGGTTAGCCGAGAGGGACCAGAAATGGGGAACAGTGGGGGAGGTTATGCAAATAATGTTCGGAGGCACTTTTTGAAAACTTGTGAAAGGATCCGTCTGGGACCGTCAGAAGGCTTCTAGACTTGAAGAAACGGTTCCAAAAAAGCTCAAGGACCGTCTGGGCAGCCTTGAGAAGCTTCTGGGAGCTATCAAATCGTTTAAACACTCAAAAACTGATCAGAAAAGGCTGCAAGACTCGGAAAAGAGGTCCCAAGGGCCCAAGAACCCGCTGGAACCGTCTGGAATCTTCAGAACGGTCCCAGTGATTCAGAAAATTCCGGAATAGCTTTTTGATGCTCAGAAACTGAACAAAATGGGGTGGAGCATCTTCTTCTTCAACTTGAGCAAACGCGACAAGTTTTATCGCCTCCAAAACGATCCCCGGGGACCACCTCCCACTTCTTCTTCTTCTTCTTCTTCTTCTTTTCATCTTAGCAAGTTCGAGAGCTTACCACCACCTTCCGACACCCGCAACACATGTGTTTGGGCGGTAAACGAGCCAGTTTGACACGCAGACGGGCTGAAATTATGGGGCATCGAGCGGGATTTGATGGATTTTAACGGGTTCGCAAGCAGGAATACGGAATACGAAAATCGGAAGTGTGT